CCCGTCTGAGCCCGGCGCAGATCTACGGCACCCGTCTGAGCCCGGCGCAGATCTACGGCACCCGTCTGAGCCCGGCGCAGATCTACGGCGCCCGCCTGAGCCCGGCGCAGATCTACGGCGCCCGCCTGAGCCCGGCGCAGATCTACGGCGCCCGCCTGAGCCCGGCGCAGATCTACGGCACCCGTCTGAGCCCGGCGCAGATCTACGAACACTGTCGTCCAACACCACCTGACACCGCCCTCCATTGCCCCTCAGCACTTGTAGATAACGGATACCTGCACTGCCCTCTCCCAGTCACTTGCAGCTGTCAAACATCTAACGGAGCTTTGAATGTTGACATTCCCCTTTCATGTGTCATGACACGTCACAGCCCAGCACACAGCGACTCCCGGGACTCCTCACCTGATCCATTGGGACCGATGATGGCGGTGAAGCGGCGGAAGGGTCCTATGATCTGCCGTCCCTTGTACGACTTGAAATTCTCAATCTCTATCAACTTCAGAAAGCCCATGGCGCCGGCCGCCCAGCTTCCCCTGCCCTAAAATCCAACTCCTCCGGCCGCCTTAGGTCCCACCGAGAACCCAGGCCCGGATGCCGCCAATTGCCCGAACCGTCACGTCACTCACAACGCGCCGTCAAGTGACGCCATCAAGCGGCTTCCAAACAAAGGGGCGGGACGCAGAGAGACGAATTTTGAGTGCGCAAGTCGAGGCCTGCTTCCGTACAGGAGGCGGGACACTACCGTACAGTAGGCGGTGGTAAGCGAAATGCTGCCGTACAGGGGGCGGGGCCGCAGACTTGCTGAGTGGCTAGGCTCCACCTCCAGGACATCATTAGTCTACGCGGGAAAAATCGCTGCTTGCGGGGGAGGAGTAATTGCGCAGTGTGAGGGAGGCTTTGCGGAATTTGGGGCAGAAATTGTCCCTTTTTTTTAAAATGTGTTAAAAGAAGTGCAGGGGCTTTGTTTTCTGTAGCACAGTGCATCACAATGTACAGTGATACCAAAACCCGTTCCGAACCTGAGCTGTTCTGAACCAGGAAGTGCCATCAGCCGCCCACCCAATCAGATGTGGCCAGCCATGCCCCGCCCTTCAGCTGCATGTCAAATGGTGGGACGCTTGTGCTGACGTCATTGACCATATATGGTCACACAGCCTTATTAGGTAAATGTAATTTACCAAATATAGGCATGTAGCCATAAAAGGTCAATGATGTCACCCCGCCCCTTTTGCTGACACCAAGCTGCAGGCTGGGTATTACCGTTGTCAAATATACCTGAAAGGTGCCTGCAGCTGATTGGATGCAGGCAGCTGATTGGCCGACAATTTCTCTTTGAAGTGGACTCAAAAAGTGAAGATTTGCCGTGTTATAAGGAACCTTTAGAAATGTTGATTGTGTCTAAGCAGTACTGTGAAAATGTACCCCTATGTCTTGAAATATAGCAGTGCGCATCCTGGTAGGCGAGGGTTCCTGGTCCCTCCTGTTCTGCAACCTTATATCTGCAGTGTGAGATCTAAGGCTGGGCACACACCTTACAACCATCGCCAGACTTCTGTCTGGCGATGGTTGTAAGGTACTTAAAAAAACGTACGATCTGCCTATCTTGCATAGGCAGATCGTACTTGCGATGATCGCAAGCCACGCCCCCTGAGGGGCGGGGTTCCGATGACCGCAATGCCGAACGGGCAGTGTGCGCTTGCGCACACTGGCCCGTACGGCTTTTATCGTACGAACATCCCACAAACCCGCCGAACGTCGTACGATGCTCGGCGGGTTCTCGAACATGTCCGTAAGTTCAAAGTCGTGCGACCTTACAGTAGTAGAGGTCGCACGGCTTCCACACACCTTACGATAATCGTACGATCGCGGGATTTCCCGCCATTATCATACGATTACCGTAAGGTGTGTGGGGACCTTAAGGCTCTGCTGCCTCTGACTGATAGTCTTAGGAGAGCCGCATTGAGAGTTGGTGATGTCGTTACTGAGCTGCTTCTTGTTCCCCTTGCCGGAGGCTCTGACATGAGGAAGCAAAGCCCTGCCTCTACCAAGATGGCCGCCTCCACACAGAACCAGGCTTGATACGCCAGTAATTGGATAAAAGATCAGCTTCTGGGAGACCGCAAGCAATACCATTGGCTAGTCCTTTGCCCTGGTCTCCCTTTTCTTGACCACGGCTACCAGAGCCCATTTAAAGGAGAACTGTGGAAATTCAGCAATACACTGTACGCTTACAAGGAGCTCCACCATCAATGCCAATGTCTATTGCTTTTACTGGGTTGTAGTCTTAGCAATATAATGATACCAATCAGGGCTGTAGCTACCATGGGGCGAGTGAGGCACCCGCCTCAGGCGCAGCTTAGAGGGGGCCGCAGCCAGG